GCCTCATGTAGCTGCATGTACAAATGTCGGAAAGACCTGAGGTGCTCATTGGATCAGGTTGACTGGTAAGAACAGAAGTAACATCTATTATGCTTTCCTTTCTAGATCAGCGCATAGAAAACAACTCTGTATCACTGACTGAAACAACTGACTGCATCAGAGGACAAGGGGAGGGATACCGTGGTACTGTGAGCACCATATGGAGTGGTATTGAATGCCAACGATGGGACTCACAGATGCCTCATCAACACAACTTCACAGAAGAGAACTTTAAATGCAAGTGAGTAGAGCTACACTCATTTTAATTCCAGAAAAATATGACAGTAATCAGTAAAGCTCAGAAAGCTGAAAATGATATTTGTTCAGCATGATAGACTTGTCATATTTGAGTCTTTTAAAGTAAGTGTTTCCTGTAAATCTTACACCTTATATCTTCAGGAATTGTAGTTATATTCGTTTAATGATTATGACTTGATGGATTTGTGAACAATATATTTTGTAAATATTTTGATTCCTTTGTTGACCATGCACTCCCTGGTTTCTAAGAGTGATGCATTTGTGCTATGTAATGGTGGGTGATTTTTCACATTATATATTATAAATTGTATTATGGTGGCACATTAACTTCATATGCTGATTGGAACTGATCACAGTCAATACCTCCATTCTCCAATGCCCTATAATGTAGGGGAAGCCTTTGTTTCCCTTGCTCCACCCGATGTCTGAGGGATCCTTCTTTCTGTGGAAACTATTCAGCTGTAAGTGAACTAGTTCAAATGGTGCTAGCCCCAGCATCCACTTTTCACCTCCCAATTAGGATTCCTGCTGCTATAGAAGCTCGGGTTATCTGGAAACATGGTCCTCTGCAGTGCTCATTCTCCATATCTTGAATTGATCATCTGTGTCCTACAAAAAGGCTTCATTCTAAGCATTCATAACAACGATGAATTGATACCAAGAATCCTGTTACAGGGTAAGTGAACTGGATTTCACCATTTATTTGTTTGGCAAGGTAGAACAGACAGTGAATGAGTGCCCAAGTTGTTTGCTGTTTCTAGCATTTTAATTTTATTCATTGATTTGTTGAATGTTCAATTTATATTCCAACTTCCTGCTGAGGTAGGACTAGAAGTTACTTACTACAATGGTAAAATATAATAAATGTACATTTTTTAAAGATCGCTATTAGGGCTGTCCAAACACGGAAAAATTTGTTTCTAAACTCAATTCGTTTTTAGGGGTTTTTTGCGTTTTGTTA